GACGGTTCGTTGCAAACAGACTCACTAGCAACTTGATCCATGTAATTTACTCTTAAAATAATATAATATAGGGCTAGTATATTTATGTAAATACATATATAACAATTTTATTATATTGTCACGATAATAATCGATGTGCATACTATGAAAAACTTTAGTACATTTTTGGAGTAGAAACTTTAGTATTACATGGTAGTAACTCCTATAAACGTATTTGCACAAATTGCTACTAAAATAAAATTATTCGAAATATATTTAAGTGTGAGATCTAGTTTTGTTCGTCTCGTCGTATAAAACATGTCGGTGTAGACGCATTTGAAAACGGATACAACGTTAGAAAGTTATAGCCATTTAAAGGAATTATTTTGATTTTTTGGTTTGTGTCAGAGCCGGTCGGGACGCATGCAAGTGTGGAGCATGCCTCCTGGACTTGGGGTCGCGCCTGTGCAAGTGTGGAGCGCGTCTGGACCTAGGGTCGCGTGCCTTTCTGGGACCTGGGGTCGTGCGCTTCCAGTTTGCGCGACCGGTCGCGCCCTATCCGCCTCCTTTTTCCTGGCTTCCTGCATGGTACTGATTTTGCTTTCCGTTTCGCATTTGTTTTTGTTTTTGTGTTTCATTTTTTCTGGATAAAAGGTTCACGTTTGTTTTTCTTGGCAAAAGAAATATGCGTTCATTAACATTGTTGGTAAACTCTATCGAGTCTGGAGATATTTTAATTTTGGTGGACCTACCTAGTGGACTACTGGTGCATCTGACATTGTCAGTAAATTCTATCAACTATAGCCTACTTGTAAGCTGTAACTGGCCCATGTATATATATACTGGTTCCGTGGTTCGTCTATTTGATTCCGATGACAACCAAAGACAAGATGCGACTCTGAATTTGATTCCGAGGACAACAAGTGCCTGTTTAGTTCTCAAAATTTTACAAAATTTTTCAAGATTTTTCGTCACATCGAATCTTTAAACGCATGCATGAAGCATTAAATATAAATAAAAAATCAAACTAATTACACAGTTTAGACAAAATTCACGAGACGAATCTTTTAAGCCTAATTAGACTATGATTAGACACTAATCACCAAATAACAACGAAAGTGCTATAGTACCATTTCTAAAAAAAAATCGACAACTAAACCAGGCCCAAAGACAAGATGGGGATACTCCGACTCTAGCTAGCGTTGTTTGGTCCGGAGGTCTTCAAGAGCGGGGATGTCACTCCCACCTGCAAATATTCTCGTAAAGATACGAGCTCGCTTCACCCTCCAGAAAAAAAAGCCGGCGCGCTAGCTAGTCCCACTTCAACGACATCACGGGTCGTCTCCTCTCCACGTGAGCTGCGGTTGTCACTAGTATGGGCCCGGGCTTGTTCGCTTGAACTTATCAGCCGACTTATCAGCTAGAATCTATAATATTTTTCTCTCATGACAAAATAGCCTCAGCCGACTTATCAGCCGACTTATCAGCTAGAATCTATAATATTTTTCTCTCATAACAAAACAGCCTCAGCCGACTTATCAGCCGGCTTTAATACCAGCCGAACAGACCGATGGTTGACGTGGAAAACAAAACAGAGAGGATGATCGATGCCCCGCAGATGTCTACTACTCGACGGTGTCAAAAATAACATTATCTTACTTCTAATCCACCCAACCAAACAAAAAAAAAATGATCTATCTCTTAAACCAAACACTAAAGTGGGTCAGCCCTAGCCCAGAAATCAAGGACATGACTATCACGTCACATGATCTCCAAACGAAACCAATACCTTACACAATTCTGTATAACCAGTCTAGGATAAGGGTTTACTTGATTCAGCTGTGAGCCGTGAAAAAAATAATATATGAACTATAAAAAGGCTATTATTAGCTATAAAAAAGATACTATAATCTATACTAGTAATTTGCGCGCGCCCATGCGCGCGTGATAACATCTTTGCGATTTTGTTTGAGAAATGAAATAATGCTGAGATAACAAATTGTTTTATCTGGCAACCCAAACAGTATATAAAAAGATCGCCACAAAAATATAGCACAACGCAATCACAAACCAAGGAAAATGACCAAAAAAATAGAAGCCAGTCGCTGAATCGCAGGAAGATTCATTGTTTTCCCACCATACATAATGTCAGCCGCAAGTGTATTTCTTACAAGACCATCTCGAACCATAGGGTCCATAGTTTTCCCCAACCGCAAGTCTATTAAGCGGGATAATCTAGCCAACACCGCTGCAGATTGGGGGAAATCATATAAGCGAGAGTGAACACGGAGCGAGTTAAATAAGACATCAACGCAAATCATTAGCCCATTATGCACAAACATAGGAGCACTAAATAACTGCTGAAAAATGTTGTAGGAAAGATTTCCTCTTATCACTTTAAGGCCACAGGTTAATTTTGGTTGCATGATGCACCAGACATCTCTCGGACCCATTTTCATTTGTATTATTTGAATGGAAGCTAAAAATAAATGTTTTGTACAAAGCAGAAGGTGCAACAGGCAACCAGACATACTGGCCAATCTAATGCTACTCTCCGAGAAATACTGAACAGAATAGTTGCTAAAGTAAAAAAAGCATAGAATGCAATAGAGGATAATTTGAGAACAACGGTCACCTCGTGGAACTGTCCTCCATCAACTTCAAGGTCCATAACACCTCCTTCTCTAGGATCTGCAACCACCAAAAGCGAACTTTTTAGCCTTCATGTATACAGCTAAAGGACTATAAAAATTTGTCAACAAATTCAAAACAAAATTGCATTTCTAGCATGTGTTGAAGGACATCCGTACAAACTTTAAAATTACTAACCAAGGCTTAACAGATACCTGGATTCCTCGGTTGAACTACTTTACAACTGCAGCTCAATTTTGAAACAACGAAAGAACTTAGCAAACTTATATTAAGAAAAATTGGTTTCGAGCACGCAGCAACAATTTAAATGTAACTGAAAACAGTGGAACACACTATACTGACATGTCATCAAACAGTTCAACGAATCTAAACTGTTTGATGACAAATTGTCTAGAAAATAGCATATGCTACCTTTGGGTCAGGAACACATTCTTGCAAGGCAAGATAACTTATAGGGGAGAGGCACAGGTGGTACCTTGAGCTGCAAATGGTGGTCGACTGCAAGTCACCACTTTCGATGCCGGGTCGCATAGGCACTGGAGTGATTGGTATTGGTATTACATAGTTCCTCCATGCATAAAGATTAGAAATCAATAAAAGATTTTTTTTATCTATCAAAGGAGAGCAATCAATTAATCTTACTGACCTTTTCGTGTTATATAAAGCGAAGCTTGGAACAAACAAACTGAAAATTGCCTACATCTGTACAACTCGGATTTCGTGTGAGAAGCATAGCAGTCAATGTAACATTTGATGGGACAAAACGGTGGCAAGGCAAACCACAGTTTCCATCCATTTGAACAATCCAAGAGAAAAGAAATCGTAATGTATCTTTATTTTAGTAAGGAAAACATATGTTATATGACATAGAATAACTTTATTGGCAGGTAGGCAACATTTCTAAAATAATGTCTAGATATGCTTCTGCAAGAGAATTAAAGTTTGAATTTGAATTCACCTTTTCACAGCAAGAAACTAAAGCTAATCCTTGTTCAGACAAATCAATAAAGTTCATCCTACGGATTCACACTTCTAAACCAACAAAAGGGAATAAAGTTCCTCCCTTTAGCTCATTAGGCTGCAAAATTGAAACAAAAAAGAAAGAGGTGATATTAGCGGTCACCTAATCTCTTCAAATTTAGAGGAACAGTGTTATTTGGAAGTCTCATCACTGCTTTTTTTTTCAGTATTGCTTCATTCTTTGTCATTCACCTATGGTTATAAATATTATTTAGAAATGGAAAGTAATTTCATAAATTGACAAACAAAGACAAGCCAACTCCTAAAGAGCGACCAACAAAAAGCTAGTAAGAAATCCACTATGGTCATGCACAGAGGCTTTTCTTCCATAGGTGCCCAGTCAATGCAAAAAAAAATGGATGCACCAAGCAGCACATGTAGATGCATTTCTCAAAAGGCAATTCTTCACAATCCCTCAATTTTCACAAATTGGTAAACACGCAAAGACAATTGCTTGGTGGTCTAAATTAGTTAGCGAGAATAAATACCAAATGAGGTTGTCGGAACAAAGACCGTTCAATTTAGAAGAATCAAACATAGGCTAAGATTATAGGGGATGTGTACCACACTATAAACAGTACCAACTTCCAGTTGTTAGGTACTTAGATGATAGTTTTTTTTCTATAAGAAATTGGTAATATTCTTTCATAAAAGTGTGGTAGTTTTGCAAAAACTATCAACAAAGTCATCAGAACAGGGTGGACTACTTGAAACATCTCATAGAACAACATGCTATATGCATATGAATCATTTCTGATTCTACCTTTTCAGATGTTAGGTTATAGAAATGCAATAAGATCATAACAAAAGATAGTGCTACAATGAGGTGATTTGAAATCAGAAATTAACTATTCGGACATCGGTAATAAAAGTTATGGAACACATCGAATGTACCCATTAGTCATAAGTTCTGTCACGATAAAAAATGGTACCCCTCGGTCAAAACATGCAGGTCATACCAATTTCTTTGGACCAAAACATGCAGGTCAAAAAATGCACTAATTATTTTCTGAGCTCCCACCAGGGACCAATCACTGGCAAGGCAAAAATTGTTAATGACAGATCATAATAAAAGTTTGTAGAGAAATGGTTGATTTTAGGTTATTAGCTAAAGAGAAGCATTAAAAAGAAGAACAGAGGAATGTTTTTTTCAGTAATTGTTGCATGGTTGATTTTAGGCTAGCCAGCATAGAGATTTACACTTGCTCTAGCCTGGCCAACTGAGGCAGTGAAAACTGAGAATGGAAAACTAAAAACTGGTAGGGCTTCAAAAACTTGGGAAGTGCAAATAAGCAAGCATAGGAGTAAAAACACAGGCCAAAATGCTAGCTCTGAAATTACTCGAACCCCTATCCTTTCTTCGGCAGCCCAGGAGCCAAGACCTGCAAGGGGACAATAAATATTTGAAGTTATTCATACACCATGATAATGCAGGTCTATTTAGCAGCAAGGGCTCTACAGTAGTGTTGCCTGTTAGCAAGGGTCAATTGAGAAAAAGAGATCTATCACAATAAACCACTGGCACCTATCTTATGAGGACAAAATATGAAGCAAAATTGTGTAGCTCTCTGCCCTGCTGGGTACTGCTCTTAATCAGCAAATATTGTCCTTTTATTAAGCATTTTGGAACACAAGATTTCCTCATGCTGCCTCTCAGTTACAAAGGGAGGAAAATAGTCACATTCACCATTGGGTGAAGTGCTGAACCAACCTTGCAGCAAAGTGTAAGCGCACATTGCACATGAAGAAACCCAAAGGAGCAGAGCAGACTAATGTTTCAAAGCATTGTGCACACAGACACAGGTGTGCGTCGGTAGAGTAAATGTGTCAAATACCTTGCATGCACCGAGGCTGTCTTCCATAGCAGGTGCCCAGTCTGTGCAAAAGAGGATGCAGCAGGCATTTCCTCGAACATCTTGAAGGCACTTCCCAAATATTCTACCTGCAGAGCATATATCAGTAGCTATCGAACACATAAATAATGGAGGCATTTGAAATATGGACATGGAGTGCTAGGTAGCAAATTGCCTACCTTCGTCTGAGGTGATTATGGATACTAGTCTCTAGAGAGGAACCTAGCTCTGTTTACCAAGTTCATATCTTGCACAGCAAAATCAAGAGGATAAATTTTTGTCAAACAAATCAAGAGGAAAAATAAAATAGAATATATATATCTAAAGGAAAGAAGGGAAACCCAGATAGAATAGCATGAACATGGGCACAAGAGAAAGATCATGATCCAATAATAAAATTAGAAAAGCAAACATCATAGACCTCAGGTTCATCCATCTGCACTGAACCTGAGAGCAGGAATAGAAAATCGAAGCAACATAGTAAACTACATAAGGACATGGTGCTTCACACCTGAATGTCTAAAACCCTAGGCACATACATCAGATCCACGAAGTAAAATCATAACCAACATGTAAATGCAATTAATGGAGAGAAGCGCACACCTTTCGTTTCAGGATTATCACTTTGCTGATGGGAAATCATCTACCACCATCCTATTTCTAAAAGATGGAACCTGATTTTGCTTTAGCCCCAATCTACAAAAGGCAGCGATAGAGATCAATCAAGAAGGACAACGGTAACTGTTTTTTCATCTATATTCAGAGGTTTTTTAGTAACCTGTGCATAGCAACTCTCTTCTCAAAGCTAACAAAGGCATTAATAATATGGTAAAAACAACTCAAGCATTATCCAAGTAATTTCACCTTATTATACACACAGGACCCGTGCCTGTGCAGTCTCCATCCTCTCTTTAATCCTTTGCATCCTCTTAGCATAGGCGTCTCCCTAAGAAAGCTATGTATGTGACCACCAATCACAAGAATAATTCGAAGAGGATGGAATGGAGAAGAACACCTCATCAGAGCACAGGCAACAGAACCGTGGGGATGGGGATGAGCACAAGGAACAGAGCAACCACCTGCTCGTCCGCCTTTAGACACGGAGTCACCAACACATAGGACACAACAACAAGGACAACAGTAACGATGCAAGGGTAACCCTAACCCTAGATCTGAAATCAACACCTCAACATCCATCTATGCACGCATTCATAAAAAATTAGGAGCTCACCACAGCGGAACGGGAGCACGGCATGACGAGGAAACACGGACGGAGCAACCACCAAAGCCAACCCGGCCGACCCACAGCCATGGCACGGTGGAGCAACCAGCCCCCTTGCCAAGGCTAGAGGCATGACAAGAGACGCCAGCCAACCAGTGCATGGTGTGGCATGGGCGGCCGGGTCCCACAGGCTGTGCTGGCTGGCGGCCACTTTGCCCGGCGTCGCGACGGGGAGGAGAGGAGCAGGGGCGCCGGTAGAGAAAGAGAAGATGGCCAAGCGTTATAGAGACATGCCGCGTCGAGCTCCACCGGGGGCACCCTCGCCGGGGACGCCGCGCCGGGATCTCTCGCCGCCACGCAGGACGCCCTAGCCGGGGCTGCCGGGGCCCTCATGCCGCCGCGTCTGGGGCCGCTCCCACGGGGGCCACCCGAGCTGGGCCCGTCGCGCCGCCGCGCTTAGCCGCCTGGCCGGGCTCGAGCATCCTCGGCGGGGATGCGGCACCCCTCGACAGACGGACGGGGACGGGCCTAACTAGCCTGGCCCGAGAGAGAGGAGAGCGGATCTGATGACGCCTTGAGTGAGCTAGGGTTGGAGCCGATATATAGTTGACAGGGAGGAGACTCCAGAACCGTAGATCTCCAAATCGAACGCGCCAAAATAATTTCACCGACGTGGCCACCTTGAGGCCGCGCCGTGGCCACAACAAATTTACTCTTTAGATGCTGTGAAGAATGTTATAAGATATTTGGATAAATAAAACAACTATGAAAAACCTACCTTCTCTTTCTCCCTTAAAACAGGTGTTAAACATCTCTCTATTTCCACTCATTTGGAAAAGCCAAAAGCCAAAAGTAGGATCCAAAATGCTACGAAAATTATACTACACATAGTTGTGTTTGAAAAACTTCTGCATCTATCCGTTTGATTAGCATTCTGTTTTTTAAAAGCAGAAGCACTTTTTAGAAGAAAAACTAAACACATCCTCAATTCAAAAAAAAAAAGATCCAGGAGTCTCTACCGACTACCTTATATTAGTACATCCATTTACGATCACAAAGCGATTATACCAAGATTATACCAAGATGCGGACAAGAGGCAAGCAAATAACGAAACAAGAACACCAGCAAGCAAAGCCAAAAAGGACAAGCCTCCGGACGGCTACATCTAACACACAGCGAATGAAATGTTATCCAGGATTTGATGCCCCAGCGTATAGCTTTGAAACAAGTGCCCGGTCCACATGCCTATGTCAAAATCCGGGGGACGAATTCCATTGCTAAACGGCAAAAAAATCAAGTGGGCTTCATTTTCCATCCAATGAAGACGGCCTCTGCCTTTTACATCGCTTTGTACTATCAAACCAACAAAAAAAAAGGGGGGTTTACAACATTAGACCACATGTTACGACCGCTAATTCAAGACATTTGTCTCTTTACATGATTACATCTGCAACATATAGAAGACAAAAGTACTCAAAAACTGCCATAGGCCATAAGGAACACCAGAAGGTACAGATTGTACACCTTTTTAGCAGGAGTTGCCCGATTAAAGAAGACAGATTGCACAATGAATAGGCACAAGTGAAGTGATGCATGTCAATCTTTTATATCCACTAATAGTCTAATACTGCTATGGAAGGAACCGTACGTATAGTTGCCTCGTGATAACTGTGTGAGTGCAAGAAACAGGCCTCCAGTGCATGAACATACATCCGAACCACGTAATTGAGAGCACTGTCAGTGTGGACCAGCTACTGTACACCTGCCTCAGGCACTGCATCTTCTGATATCTAAAGTTGCCTCCTAGGATGTTTCATACTCGAGAATGATTCATACTGCTATATCAAAGGAAGGGATGGAAGGACAAAAGGCAGGCACACCTCCGGTCTTAATCGATCATTCCATTATTTGAAGGGTCTACTCTATTGTCGCAGTCGATAACAGCATCAAATATCAGGTCCCGTGCAATTACAGTACGTAAACAAACCCTTTTGGGGAAAGAAACAAACTTATTCAACAAAGAGCAACCCAGACATCATAAATTGCCAACCTTCCCGAAAAATCAAGGTAGATAGTTAGCATCAATACCTGCAATGAGCTTTGTCTCAAGTCTCAAGTACTTGTGCTCTGAAAATCTTCTGGGGAATAGACCAAAGCACTCGTTCAGAAAAAAATAGACCAAAGCACCCACTTGCTTTAATGCAACTCCATAACCATGTAGAAGAAGAGTATCTGCAATCACATTCCTTGCTTCGGAACATAACGTTTCTGCATCATTTCCTTGAATAGGTCGGTGAATAATCACCTTTACTGAACCTGAATTGAGAATTCCTTCCATTCCAGAAGGCATCAATTTCCCAGTTCTGATAAGAGTAATAGGTATCACAGGAGCTCCAGTCTTTGCAGCGACACTGAATGCGCCACGCTGAGAAAATTATGACAGCATGTCACTGCTCCAAGAAAAAGTTAAAAGCATAATGAACAGAGAAATAAGATATAGTTTGGTAAAACCTAACCTTAAATACACCTAACTTGCCATCTCTACTTCGAGTATCCTCTGGAAAGAAAAATACAGAAGCTCCTTTTCCCACCAAGTCCACGCACCGTTTGAGACAATCCTGCATTTCCAAAACCAATGTTATGCAGAACATGGAGTGCAAATTGAAATAAGGTGTCTAATTAGGCAATAGAATTACATAAACTTGGTTATTTGGTTTACTTATGTATGTTTTAAACCTCATGCCAAAGCTGTGTAAACCAAAAAGAACAAGAAAGAAAGTGAGCATGGCAGGCCAATTACAAAACAAAACTGTCTTACGTGTCCCTCTAAATAATATAAATGATCCAAAAGATATAGTTTCATAAAAAAATTATCTAAACCATGGCCTTGTTTAGATTGCAAATTTTTGCAATCTGGACACTGTAGCACGTTTCGTTTGTATTTGACAAACTTTGTCCGATCATGGACTAACTAGGCTCAAAAGATTCGTCTCGTGATTTACAACCAAACTGTGTAATTAGTTATTTTTTTTTACCTACATTTAATGCTCCATGCATGCGTCCAAAAATTGATGTGATGGAGAGAGAGTGAAAAAACTTGGAATTTTGAGGCAATCTAAACAAGGCCCATAATCTAAATAGGGATGAGTTTACTCATACCAGCTGGCTCCTGCTGTCCATATGCCGCAGAGGAATCACACCCAGGAGATACATTGCCCACCCTATAATAGGGAACATAAACAGCCTGTTCGTTTCGGCTGAATTGGCTTATAAGCCATGGCTGAAAGTACTGCTGGCTGGTTTGTTGTGAGAGAAAAACACTGTTCAAGCCGTGGATTATAAGCCAGATACGAGCGAATAAGCCGAAACGAACAGGCTAAAAGATACTGGTCTTGCTTATAAATTTGAAGCACCTCCCTAGAGTTAGAAGGGTATAAATATCCAAGAAGCTCTGATGGTTAGCAACATAGACACCAGGACTGCTATTTGGAGGTAGATTCTCCATTCCCTCAACCTCAAGCTTGTAGAACATGGAAATTGTCAACGTAGCCCAAATCTTCGCGATGTAGTGCTGTGCTCTCCTACGGTACCGGTCAAATAGCAACATAAGTGGATGAACAACAACCATAGCTACAAACAAAAAGATTGCTGCAACTGCAGTCACCAAATAGAAGCAAACCCCTCTGACTCTTGAAATCAATTGCACGCCTGTTAAAATATTTACAAGTTAGCACAAGGAGATCCAATTCTATAGTTTGATATTTGCATTTTTCTCTGTAGACAATTCATTTCACAAAAAATATTTGTCGCCTTGTTGTACATGCGCACATGTTTTCCAATAAGCATGAGACACAACTAGTAACTGCATCTATTGATTCTTATATGTTCCTGAAACAGTGAAACACAATGGTGCAGTACTGATACACCATGCTATAAGGTGTCTAAAAAGGCATCCAACCGCACAACCAAACCTCTCCGCCGGCGCCACCTCGTCGCCAGAACCTGCGTACTCGGGGACCGGAACACCGCCACCGACACCCGATGTCGCAAGCTCCTCGCCCCGCCGCCAACGGCCGCCACTACGAAGCAACCAATAAATCATAGATAAGATAAGATCAGCAGCGTGGCTTCCCCCGGCCGGGAGAGACAGCCCAGCGGGCCAGCAGAGAGGCGAGTCGGCGATACCGTGGGCGGGCGACGAGGAGGAGGAAGCGATGGGGAGCCATGGTCGGCCGGCGAAACCAACCCCCCCGCACGCTCCGCTCCCACAACGGGGGAAGAAGAAGAGGCTGGGGCCCGTGATCTCGTTCGCGACGGAGTATGGCCGGCGACGCGGACGCGGTGCGGTGGGGAGGTGGCGCGCACGTGGGATGGGGAGATGGTGGCTTCGCTGGAGAGACGAGGGAGGAACGGATAAAATCGTGGGACATTATTTGCCACTCTTACGGAGGCCGACTCTCTGATTGCTAACTTTGTGGTTGCAACTACAAAAATGTTCTAGAAAATAGTAACTCGCCTAATATTTTGCCATTTTTGCTGACGTGGCATGCCAGATCAGCCAGCCTGCTTGGGAACGGGCCGTTGACGCTCGAAGACCGAAGCCAAAAGACTATTCTGCCCCCTCCGTGTATTGCTTAACCAGCGACGTCTCCTCCCATCTGTTCGCTTCTCTCCGCACTTCTTCCTCCTTCGGCTCCCGGGATCCCTCGTCTCCCCGTCCTTGGTCGCCGGCGCCCCTCCATTGCCCTCCCCAACCCTAGCCGCCATGTCCCGTCGAGCGAGCTCATCAACACGCAATAGGCGTCTGCAGCTGCCGGATAGGATAGGGGAGTACCCACTCGGGAGGCAGACAGGGCTCCCCCTCATCATGTGCGAGGAGTGTGGGCTGCAGAGGGTGCTCGAGCTCGTGGCCCAGACAGATGAGAAATGCAACAAGGGTCGTGTCTTCTTCAAATGTCCCAGGAACATGCAAGGGGTAAACCACATTCTTTGGGTTCCGATTTGTTAGGGTTTTGAATCGATTGTCACATCAAATATGTTTTCATGTGATTAGGTTCCAGGATCTTGTAGGTTTTTTGAGTGGCAGCGAGAGTACCTAGCCATATTGGTGGACCAGGGGAAGATTGTGATGAATCTAGAACAACATGGCTAAGATGTGAGGAAGAAGTCGATTCAAGGGCTTCAGTGCGTGTGTGAGAAGAACTCAATGGAGGTGAAGTGGATGCTTTGGTTGGTGTGATGAAGGCTTTGAGCTTGGTCATGGGTCTTTGGTGTAGTGGTTGGAGCTATGTATGTGTTCTCTGTTAGTGGGATCCCTCTGTTAGTTTGACTAGTTGTTAGTTCCCTTGTCTGTTAGTTGAACTAGGGATCCCGTTGAACTATTTCAAGTTGTATCTCAGTTGAGTAATGAGCTCTGTGTTTTAGTATGAGTCTGACCAATCAGTGGGCATATATGTGTGAAAATGTTGAATGGTTAATGGAATATTGTTTCATTATTTCACTTGTACATGATATCCAAAATCATCCTTTGCAAGACCACCGATATGCTCTTGACAACCATAGCAAGTTCAAATCCGCATACATGACACAAACATAGCAAGTTCATCTGCATACATGACACAACCCTAGCAAAGTCATCACAAGTTATTGAGCGTATAAAGCAATACATTACAAGTTGTCCATTCAACTTACAATACCATAACAAGTTGTTCATGCACCTTTCAATGACATAACTGAGTTCCCAAAATATGGATCACAAGGATTCATTGCTTCATCAGTTTCCCTTGGCAGAAGAACTCTTCACCTTTGTGGCTAGCTGCTTCCTCCTAGGGGTCATCTTCTTGGCTGGTGCAGGGTTTGGCAGAGATTCAGCCTCTGGAATGATCATTTCAAGTGGTTGTGGAGCTTTCAAGTTCAACCTCCTGCATTTGAAAGTGGTTTAGTGAGCTGTTGTCGAGATGGCAAGTTCCTGAGTCACAATTTAGGTTCAGATTTTACCTTGCTGCTGCTGCTGCTTCCTCTGCCTCTCTTTCCCTTGCTACTGCTGCCCTTGTTCTTGGAGTCCTTGGTGATGGTCTTTGCGCCTCACTGGTGGAGTGGTGAAGGCTCAGTCTTGCTTCTTTGGTGGAGCTGGTGAAGGCTCGGTGGTGGTCTTCTGCATTTCACTACTAATGGAGAGCAGTTCATACTCCTTGTCAAAGCACCCTTCTTTGGCCCCTTTTTGGTCTTTGTCTTTCTTATCCTCTTCCTACAATTTCATTAAGTTAGTTAACAATGGTGAAAGGATTTCAGCAAAGGTAGGTTAGTAAGTTACCTTTTTTTGGTGCCACTTAGTGGGCACCTCCAACTGGTCCTTCTATGGCCTAATTCACCACAGCCCTTGCAAGTAACCTGCCTTGTGGCTTTGCCACTTCTTTCCAGGCATCCCTTAACCCTCTTCTTCCTTTGCCTCGCAAGTCCTCTTTTCTTCCCAATTGGTGGAAGAAGCTTGAATCCCTTCTCAACTACCGGCCACTGGCTCTTATCGGTGATAGCAGAATCATTCTGCATATGTTGCTTGGAACTTGTGCAATCGAGTAGGCCACATCCACATATTGCTCCATATTTGATCGCCTTTCGCTTGTTGTTGATTTGCCATTGCATGGGGACAGGGCTTGCCACTCACTTGCCACTCTCTGCATGTACACTCATGTTGGTCCAGGTAGACAACATGCCTCTTGACAACTTCATCATTGTACATGACTATCACCTCTGCTTGGTTGGGTCCACCCTTAGTTGCCTTGAGATGGTTTCAGTCCCTTTGAGGCTGCATTTAGGTGATGAATTATTCTTTGGTAGTATGAATCCTTTTAGGGCCTTGGATATCTTCCTTCTCGTCTCAAAAGTACCATTGTCTTATGCCCGATAGCATCGGCTAGAATGTCTAATGGTAGATCTTTGTGTGCTTGGATCCATGCATTCCAAGATTCAACCAAATTGTTATTTATAAAGTCACACTTGATCTCTTCCTTGAATCCTCACTGGCCCTGATGGCGTGATGTTCCTTCAACCATGGAACAACTCTGGATAGGCTTCAATAACTTTGTCCATCAATTTATTGAACTTCTCTCACTGTGCATGCCCCTTGTCTGGCCACATGTACTTGGCATAGGCATTTCTGTAAACCTTTTCTTCATATTTTCCATGAGATGCAGAAACACTCTCTACGCTCTCTGCTCGAGGGAAAACTTTTTTTCACAGTTGCTTCTAGCCCTTTGCATGCATCAGTGCATATAGCCAAGTGGTTCATTGGCCCTATTGTTTTCCCTAACTGTTCCATGAACCAAGTCCAATTATCCTTGATATCTGAATCAAAGAAGCCAAAAGCAATTGGGTACAACCAATTGTGGCCATCTATTGCATTGGCTGCAGGCATGTGGCCATTCCACTCACCATTGAGAGCAGTTGAATCTACACTAATATAGGGTCTACAGCCATCTCTAAATCCATCTATACTTGCTTTGAAGGCACAAAAAAATCTACTGAAGTGAACCTTGCCTTCCACAGTAACTGTATCTATCTCAACTACACTACCAGGAGACCTAAGCTCAATCTCAGCCTTGAATCTAAACAAATAATCAAAACAATCATCCCACTTACCAAATAATTTATCTGCAGCCCTCTGTCTCCCATAAAATACAGTATGATATGGAATCTTTATGTTGTACTTCTTGTCTAACTCTTCCTTTACAGCTTTGGGGCCCATCTCAGGATTATCCTTCAATAGTGGTATAGCCCTCTCAGCAATCCACTTCTGGGATGCCATCCTCCCAAGAACTCTACTCTTTGAAGGACACTTGTGGGTACCCTTATTGATTTGGATCTGCACATACATGAAGAAATGTCAGAAATAGTTAAGATAAATTCATATACAACATGCAAATATCAGAAATAAGGTTACACCAAAAGGACAAAAAAAAGTGTTAGTATTGGTACCCTGACACTTTGCCATCCTTGATGTCCTAGCTCTAATTTTCCATGGGCAGCCCTTGGAACCTGCAGTAGCCCTAAACCTCTCCTTGTCGACTTCTCATCCCCAATTGAAACTCAATCACAATAGCATCTTTGCCTAACCGCCATCCTAAAATCATCCATGCAAGGATACAAAGTGTCCCAACACTCATGTCGGGGTTGTCTCTATCCCAACCAAACATTGGCTCATCTCCTAGGTCATCATTAATGAGGATTGTTTGCCTCATTCATTTCATCCTCCACATCGCCAGGTATGTTAGGAATAGGAACCTCATCTGCAGTAGAGCCTCATCTGCTGCCTTGAATCCAAAAGCCTCATAGATTTGATCCTCATCTACCACAAAGATTAGCTTCACCATCACAGTTCTCATCACCAATATAGTCAATGTGTTCCAATCAACCACATTTTCTTGACTCTACCTTCTTGAGAGTACTACAAGTGTCACCTAAGCCTTACGCATTCTCTGCATGTCCTGCATTTGTCACACCGGAATGGGGCAAGCGAGAGTAGAAGACCCACCTTTGTTTGCTCGCTAACAACATCATTGAGACCAACCGCATCTTTCTCAACAACATCACAACTAACATGCATTACCTTCTCATCCATCCTAGACATTATCATCTCCTCAAACCGATCATTTGCTAGTAACCTTCCACTGTTCCCTTTGTCAATGTCAACACCCCAAATAAGCGATTCTTGTCGATCGCGGCCCCAAATGATCTTTTTGGCCATATCATCTACAAAGTCATTCAGTGTGTACACATTGCTACTGTCAAACCACATGTCATGTTCTTGAGCATCTAGGTCAACCACTCCATAGTCGTTAGCCAAAGTGTATTTATCAACGCAAGCATTGTCAGGATCAATCCTGACAGTGACAAGCAAAACAAACAAATCGGGAGTTAGGACATCCCTCACATACGGGATCCCCTCACATACATGCCATAACAATGAAACATACCACGGGGGACACGGAGACAACACCATCGTGGCTAATGGTTTGCTCTACATCCGATCCTACATCAACACACGAAAATTAGGAAACCCTAGCATCAGGAATCCCCCCATTCACAGATGTCGCGCGTAGGTAGAAGAAGGAAGTAGATCTAACCTTGCAGGCGTCGTGCCGTCCTGCGACTTGGGGGACGCGACTTGGCGCCGCCGTCGAGCTCCCGCCTGCCCGCCTCGAGCAAGCGCCGCCACGGGGAATGAAAGGGGAGGGACGGGAGAGAATCCCGGAGAGAAGCGAGTGGACTGAACAGATGGGAGGGGGAGAGACGGCGCTGGTTAAGCAATGGTCCCTTAAGCAATACACGGCGGGGGCAGAATGGTCTTTTGGCTTCGGTCTTCGAGCGTCAACGGCCCGTTCCCAAGATGGCTGGCTGATCTGGCATGCCACGTCAGCAAAAATGGCAAAATATTAGGCGAGTTACTATTTTCTAGGACATTTTTGTAGTTGCCACCACAAAGTTGGCAATCAGAGAGTCGGCCTCCGTAAGAGTGGCAAATAATTAGATGTCCCTACGTGGGCCGGGGGTCGTCGGTGGGCCGTGGGTGGTCGCGGCTCGCGCGCGGACGGGTACGGGGGTAACGGGTTGATTGATGTCTGCGTGCGTGCGTGCGCCGGCGAGGCGATGCGACCGGTGGGGGGCTACCGGCCGGCCGGCGGCACGTGGGTCCAAATGGGTCGAGGTTTTCAAAGTGTTTTGTGCGGTTTGCAGCTTACCTGGAAGGCCGATGTTTGTTTTACTTCTTATATAGCTGTAAATTTGTTGGTTTGGAACTTGCCTGGTAGGTCGATGTTTTCCTTCTTGTAATTGCAAATTTGTTCAGCTGAAACTCTGAAGCTGCAGGAGTAGAACAAATCTGCAACCTTTGGTGCTCTTGTCTATCCAAATAAATCAGTACCATTTTCGGTTCGAAAATAAATGCAGTTACAATTAATACTGATAACAGGGGCACAAACAAATCAATACCATTTTTCGGTTCGAAAATAAATGCAGTTTTACAATTAATACCAATAATGGCCTTGTTCGTTTGTCTTAAATTTGGCTTGTTCGGCTTTTTTTTTCAGCTGGAACAGTGTTTTTCTCTCACAACAATTCAGCCGGAACAGTGTTTTTAGCCAGTTTCAGCCAAAGTTCAGACCAGTGAACGGGCCCAATAACATGGGTGCATGCCAACAAATATAAACGAGCGCATCCACCTTAGTTATCGACAGGCCGTGCAGTTACACGGTTTGCATACAACATTGTCATTTTCTGCAACCGGACGATGCTTCGAACTTAGACCGTCTCCAACAATGTAGGTAAAGGACGACCCAAACGCAAAATACGTCGTATACAGTGTTTTGCGTTCCAAAAACACGCTCCAACAAAGGACGTAACCAAAGCACCCATTTTGCGTACCAGGCGAGTCGGAAGGCAAAAAAGCGTCGTCTCTCTCCACGACGCAAAAAACTATATTGGGCCCGTAGGAGGCGTCGGGGTAGAGCGAATGACGACGGGAAGGGAGGCTCGAGGAGCATGGCCACCGGTGGTGCCGCGCCGCCCATTGGTGGCCGCCGTGTCGAGCCTGCTGGACCCGAGGCGCTCATCTTTGGTCTTGCGCGCGCACATCTGCTGGGATCCGCCGGCGCCGCCACCCTGAAAGCGAAGGCGCATGAGAGAGAGATGCACGCTGTGGGGTGAGGGGAGGCGGTTGCGCCCACCGCCGAGGCCTGGCCACGCCACAGATATGGAGAGAGGGAGAGGAGAAGAGAGAGGGCGTCTGGCCGCCTGGGTTGGCTGGCCGATCTGCGTTGCCACCTCGTCCTATCCACTGGATGCGCCATTATCATGAGAGAGAGAGAGAGAGGCAAAGAGAGAGGTCGAGAGCAGAGAGAGAGAGAGAGAGGGAGGAAGGAGGCGGAGGAGGAAGGGGCCGCCACCGCGCCACCCACGGTGGTGCGCCGTCACCACGCCCGCCACCGCCTGGGAAGACCGAGAGAGAGAGAGACCGGGCAGCTTCTTTTTTGTGAAATTTGGCTACTCGAGAGTCTGTTAGAGAAGGCGAGATTTAGGTCCGTAACCCCCTTTCACTGTAGGTGACCTATACTATTGAATGGATATTGTGTTTGGGTTGTTTTTGTTGGAGACCTGTTGGAGACAGTCGGTCTTTATATGGCCAAAATACAACCCGTAAGGCAGAGCCGAAGAACTGAAACAGCACAACTACATGCCCTATTGCCTATGCTGTTATTGTACATTCATAATATGCACTATTCCTAAGGTACGGAAACAACATGATTTCGGGGGGAGGTGAAGAAAACACTACAGAATCAGAACAACAGGAGGGACAAAAGAAAGAATAAAATCACTGTTAGCTCCCAAACCCACTGCACGCCAGCCTCTGGCAACCATTTGTCGCGCACTGGCCAGGTGATGAGCAACACCTGTGTGTGCTTCGGCTGCAAAAGAGGTCAGTTAATTTGTACAGGGCGCCTCTTCAGTCTTCCCACTTCTATGATTGCCGGCATCTTTCAATGACTTCAGTGACAGCTGAATGTGTTTCCCTTGTCATCATGTTGAGTTGCAGATGAAATGACTGCACGAGAACAAGATGATTGGGCTATAAGCAAAACTAGCTCAAAGCTGTCGCGGAAAGAGAAATCGGGAAAATAACCGAGAAATTTTTGAAGCTAGAGCCATCACATACTATCTAGTAAACATGCCAGAAAAAAGAATAAATAGATACAGGCTACACAAAGAATAGGGATAGGCATCTATGGACATGACATATTACTGGTCCCAAAAATGGTAGTCCATGTATCTCTCGAACGTTGCTTGTGACGGTAGATTCAGAAATTTTGGAGACATACCACAAATCTCTCTAGCACTGGTACAAGAACTTTTAAGTTGTTGTCCGGAAGGCAACTGGAAATGGCTCCTCGAACCTTCATACTGTGGCAGCAAACATACAGTTCAGAAGCTAACGGCAGTGGGGCTCACATTAAAATTATAACAAATTAAGAAAACATTATGAAATAAGGCAGTATGGACCTTTCCGTAGAAAGAAAGGCGAGCACAAGTGCTGCATAGGCCTCCACGATCATCATTTCAGCTTCGCGTTCTCCTTGCAACAAAGATTCTTCATCATCCTGAAAATCAGAAAATAGCCATCAAATAAATGGCTCACAAGAGTCATACGATATGCAGAACACAGTTATATGTTTCTAGGTAGCATGTAGAAATACAAAATATAGAAAAGCCATAATTGCATTGCCAACCCAGAACTAAAAGGTGCTAATTTAATTCTAAGCTCCAGCTAACCTTTTGGCAATCTCAAGTGTCTATAAATAAACATATATATTTATATTCCTGGTGCTCCTTTTGTCTACACAACTGCCAACTGATACTCTGATTATATTGGCAGGTTTATAACAGGATACAAAATAGCAGGGAGAAATGATGGTGGTCTAATGAAGAAATTGCAACTTATATGAGGGGGCACACAAAGCAAGGGAAAGTGAGACAAAACAAAACATTGCCTCATAATAAATGATGAATCAAACACCAATGTATGGTTAATATAAAAAAAAAAGAACACTGCTGGATTTTGTATTCTAGTGCACTTGCTGCACCTGATTTTTTTTCATTTTAGGATGAATTTTTTAAAAAAAAAATATATATGAGTTTGCATGCCAACCTCTAAGACAAAGTACATCTATGGTTGCACTATGGATGTGCCAAGTTCCAAGTATGCGTTTTGAGTAGGTTCCTATGTTTCCACCTAAGATGTGGTTTTCCACTACATATTTTCCCCTATATATATGCCAAGATAAAGGCAGCCTGTCATTGGTAACATTACACCATGCCCATCAGTTAGAATGGCCGTCTGCCAGGTGTGGAAGGTGACCACACTTTGTTATCATGTTGTAAAATATGAAAACATGAGGATTAGAATTACCGGTGATATAGCTTCAGCAGTTTCCCCGGTACCTTGACTTGCTAAGAATATTGAACAGATCAGGGGTATGACATCCCTCTGTACCTCTTTGCTATCTGGATTTTGAGATAGATTGACAGAAACACGGGCATTCGCAAGTCGTACCCTGTAGCCAGGTAGAGTCAGAATTACAGGCATTGACTAGAGGATGTATAGCAACTTTCCAGATCTAAGAAACTGTCATACCAGTAATATTTACATGAATGGAGCAAATGGAGGCAAGGAAATGGGGAGTCCTACCTATTAAGGCTATCCTTCTCCACAAGGTTGACAAGCAATCCCAATATGGCGACCAGAAAATCAAGTTCATAGTCTCGCAATTGCTTAGTTTTGATTTGGAGTGACTTGCTGTTCTGGGAAGACAAGAGATCACCAAAGGACACTCTTTCTTTCATTTGATTGTTACTGTCCATGGAGAAATCAAATGAGGGGAAATGTTTAATGATCAAGGAGGCCATGGTATTAATTCCACCACATGACGCAATCTGTTCGCAGCCAGACGGGTTTTCATTTGCCAAGTTCATAAGAACCTGCCACAAAATTAATGGAAGATGTTAGATACATCTCATTGCAAATGTAATAAAAACAAGTAGTCCCTCAATAACATGCCACTGGCCTGCTGCAAAAGATGTTTGTTTGGTAAAGCTAGCTGATCAAAACTTTCACAATGACCAGCAAAGTAGAAGTAGCAACTAAGCTTAAAACCTGTAAAGTTTTAATTTTGCATAAAGCTCACCCACTGCTCAAGCATAATGCCATAATCTCGCCCAAAAAAAAAACAAAACAAAACAAACCAGCATCTGTCAGAAATGGTTAACATTGCTATTGTCGATAAGCAGGTAATGTGAATGTTCTTATGGTAGGTGTGAATATACAAATTGACACATGAAATAGAACTATAGAAGTACCGATGTCTGCAAATTTGTATATAAAAAATCACGACAATTGGCGATCATCTGAAGGATATACAGCTTCCACAGCTTTTTATCAATGTTTAAAAGATGCCAGGCAACAAGAGTTATAGAGGTAAACCAAGACAAGAAAGATCAAAAGGAAACATGATCCATTACCTTAACTGATGCCAAAAGGCAATCTTCCAAAAGATTGGACTCATCTACAGCCTTAGAATCAGAAGTTGCACCTGACTGATAAATATCTTCAGGTTGACATAATTCAGGACTTCCCATTACTGCAGTCCCACAATCATCCAGCACTTCTCCATTAGATCGTTTCGCTCGCTTCCGTGGTGATTTCCTTTTTGGACCAAATAGATCCCAATTTGAAGGTTCTTGATCAATATCATCAAATGCAAATGGGTCATCACCACCATTACTCAAATCAGTGTGTACATTTTCAGATAGACGCCGCTTTTTTGCCATTTCTCTGGAGTTCCAATCAGAAGTGTGTGCTTTTATAGAAATCCAACCACTTGAGCCCCTGATTGTATTAGTTTTAGAACGATCCTTTCTTACATTGAGCTTCAAACTAGCACCATTACTATGTTTCACTCCAAGTGAACCACTTGATGCCCCATCGCTTGAAAAAGATGAAGAATTGAGTGTCCTTTGTGACTGAGAGACAACACTGCTAGAAGAGATAGTAACATGAGAAGCTTCTGATTTGGAAGATGAGCAATCCTGGTGCCTTGGATTCAGTAAAAGGCTCTTTTTCTTTGAGTTATTGCAATTGCTATGATGATTCAATAAGCTCAAACCTCTACTGTCTGCTGCACAATGCAATGTTCAAAATGTAACTATGTTAAACTTAAAAAGACCAAGTATTATTGGCCTTCACATTAGATCGGAAAGATAACGGAAGAGTTTGTGGTGGCCCAGATAGTATTGATAACACCAGATGGTACAGAGACCTTGAAATATATATAATTGGTCAGGAGAATAATGGCACAATTTAATGAAGTCATTTTTTTACCAGAGCAGGCCCCGTTGCAAACTTCAGTATTTTTTGGATCTGCTTTTCTTGAAACAGGGGACGGTTTCTGAAGGAGGGAGAGAGCTGCAGCAACAGGAATAACAATCAGATTCCAAAAGGGGGTGTCGAGCTTTACATTTAAGTCTTGAGTAGTGGTAATATTAAATTAGTATGCAATTACCTGATAGTAATTCAATAATACTGAGAATGACACCAACAAAAGGAAGTGAGGGGCACTTAGGGCTCAATTTTCGACTCATGCTGAGCAAATGGGTCTGGAAGGAACAAAATGAGATAATTTAGAATACCTTGTAAAATAATACAGGTAGCACTTAGCAGCAAACATGGGAACCCCATTACAGCAGAGAAAAAGCACAAAACATCGTAGAGAGCAGTGAGACAGAAGCAAATCGAGCAAACAAGATACCGAAGATTACCTTGTTGTTGTCACTTAGAAATGTGGCATTCTCCAAAATTTTCAAACATTTCAAGAGGAGTGCGGTACTTTGCGGAGGAGCTCCTTCCTTACCCTCCACAGCTGTAGTGGAGGCATCCTTTACAAGTTTCTAATACACAAGGTTTACCACCAGAGGAAGATTGTTATTGCAGTCACTTGGCACAAACATATATTACTATTGCATATATTTATCAAACAGGTGACACGTAAAGATGGGGACAAACGATATACAGATCGGCACCCTAAGGATAAAAATATGGAAATCCTAAAGAAGGTCAGTACTAGAGTACTTGGATATCCAGAAAAGGCAAATATCAACGGAATTGTAACACTCAACAGAACAAAAAGACATCTCACCCCTCAAATTCTTGTTTGGTTTGAGTATTGGAATAGGGTGATCCATCACCACCACATTCCTCATATACACACAATTAGCATATGTATGGAGAATGGGACCATCCTACCAAAATTCATATACGATCACCTGATGATGGACCACCCATCAAGTATGAGGTGATTCCTCAAACCAAACACCCCATTAATGACTATTTGATGGAAGTGTTAAGAATTATAATCTTGGGAATATATGATATGGGAATTCAAATTTCAAGGCTTTCAAGGGTATTGCTTGATCGTTTCTCCAAAGTTCAAATCGTACTGGTAATCACAGTTAGAGTACATTTGAAATCTAAAACTTTTCAACCAAAGCAAATATTGTAACATGTTTTTCATGTTGCTCAAAATATATTCTTCCAAATTGCAGCTTCAAGTATACTGGAACATGAATTGTAAAAGTCAACCATCTTACCATAGCAAAACAAATAATGCTAGTTTAATAGTTTTGTCTAAACCTGTTAGAAAACATGCATAGACATAAGTAAGGTCTTACCTCCAGTTCTGAATGGCAATTCACCATAACATTAAAAATATTATCAAGGCCACCCGACTGCCTTAATGTTTCTTTGAAATTTCCTCCAAGTTTCAACACCATGTCAGATGTATCTGTAAAAATGTTATAGCACTTCAGAGTGATGATGGCTAACCTTGCTACTAAATCAGGTTTATTAAATTAAAGGTAAGAAAAATACTCCAAGCTCTAAATAAGACGACAATCAATAGCAAGTGAAACAATAACCAGTAAAAAATCATCCATGTAATGCTGTAAGCTATTACTTATTATTTGATTTTATTGCTTTGACTAATAAAATCAGACCTGAAGGGGAATCGTGATCAAGAAATTTGATTAGAGAACTTACCCTCTAATGCAACAGCAGACAAGCACGCCTTTTCCATTGTCAACAAAGCAAGCCACTTTGAACATAGTTCCGGCCTTGTTGTTCTCTTATCATCCCTGTCTAGTGGCTTGATCTCTTTGCAGCTTAAGAGAATTTCTTCAACTTTTAAAAGTATGTCCTCTGAACTAGAGTCCGCATCCTTATTGGAACCATTAAGAATTTGAAATTTACTGATTCCAAGAAGTTTGGAACCTATTGATGGCGCTTTGGCATCAACAACATTCACCGGAGGGTTTAATAATTTAAGAAGGAAATGGACACAAGTTTCTGAATCCAGCGAATTATTATCTTGGACCTGAATAATAACAAAGGAAACAATAAGCAGAACCCATATTGAAGTACAACTACCTTAGTTCCAGAATCTAGTGCCATCAATCAAATTTCTAAAGGTTGACGATTTGTATGCCTGTAAGGACAGAGTTACATAGATTCACTTTATGAAAATATCATTAGAGTTATCGTTAGAATGCCTCCATTAAGTTGTAGCAATGGACAAAGTTGCATCTCACGGACGATGAAAAGTCAAAAACTTTATTAAGTAAAAAAGAAAGGAAGTGGTAAAAGAGAAGAACCATTGGTTAATTAAATATTACAATATTACATCTTATAAAACAAGAGAGATAGTCATTTTGGTCAACAACAACAACAACAACAAAGCCTTTAAGTCCCAAACAAGTTGGGGTAGGCTAGAGTTGAAACCCAGCAGAAACAATCAAGGTTCAGGCACGTGAATAGCTGTTGGTGTTTCGAACAAACACCAACTAGTAAATTTATAATTGTTGCGCGTTAGGCTCGGATGGTGTACTAAAGGACACAAGGTTTATACTGGCTCGGGCAGAATGTCTCTACGTCCAGTTTGCTGCTGCTCGTGTTATTAGTACCAAAAAAGGTTCGTAGCAGGGGGTACAAACGGTAGAGAGAGGGACAGGTCCCAAGTCTCTGATGGAAAGGTCGAAAGGACGCCAAGAGTTCGGTTGCTGCTTGGCTGTGTTGTGTTGTGTGTGGAATCGATCTGTCGTCCCTAGTGGGGTGCCATGTCCCCCCCTTTTATAGACCAAGGGGGAGCAGGGATTACAGATGGAAGAAAGAGGAAAAAACCAGAGGGTAGAGAAGGTCCTTCGAAGGAGCCGGGTCTTCCTTTTCCCCTGTGCCTGCCCTGCTAACATGGCAGACCGTGTTCCTTATAGGGTCGTGCCCTGGCCTCTTTCAGCAAGTGGGTGCATCCCATCCTACACTGGCGGACGGTGCGGCGTGCCAGAGAGCCAAGCCGCGACCCTTCGGGGAGTAGACGGGGAAGTGACCATACGTCCGTCACTGTAGATGATGTGAGTTCTGCCTTGGATCGTAGTGGTTGTCATATGCTTGTGTTAGTATCCGCGCCCGAGGGCTGATGGCGGCGCCTATAACACTGTGGGACAAAAGTCGACGCCTACAACACTGTTCGGGCTCTGTCAAGTCGGAAAGGGCTCAAAGCGCCCGTCCCATCGTATCCTGACGGTACCTTCCTGCAGGCATGCAGGGCATGGCCCTCGGTACTGCGGTTGACTCGAATGTCCTGTCGTATCCTGTGCTTGTCTTTATGAAGGAGTAGGGTGCAGTCGTCGGGCGAGGCAAAGCCTGCCCTCAGACGTCGGGCACGAGGCAAAGCCTGCCCTCAGATGTCGGGCGAGGCGGGGCCAGCCCATAGACATCGGGCGAGGTGGGGCCTGCCCTCAACCGTCGGGCTAGGCGGAGACTGCCCTCGGACGTCGGGCGAGGCGAAGTCTTAGCCCTTGGGGGTCGGGCGAGGCGGAGCTAGCCCCCTCAGCCGTTGGGCGAGGCGGAGTCTTAGCCCTTGGGGGTCGGGCGAGGCGGAACCAATCTTCCGTCGTTCGGGCAAGAAGTGTAGTAGCGTTCTTGTCTGACCGAAAGCGTCAACGTTCGATGGTTATTAATTCCACCTCATTGGGTACCCCGGTATTAGCCCCCTGACAATAGCTGTCTTCCAAGCACTCCTATCTAAGGCTAAGTCTTTGGGTATATTCCATCCTTTCAAGTCTCCTTTTATTGCCTCTACCCAAGTCAACTTCGGTCTTCATCTGCCTCTCTTCACGTTACTATCCTGCCTTAGGATTCCACTACGCACCGGTGCCTCTGGAGGTCTCTGTTGAACATGTTCAAACCATCTCAACCGGTGTTGGACAAGCTTTTCTTCAATTGGTGCTACCCCTAATCTATCACGTATATCATCGTTCCGAATTCGATCCCTTCTTGTATGACCGCAAATCCAACGCAACATACGCATTTCCGCGACACTTATCTGTTGAACATGTCGTCTTTTCGTAGGCCAACATTCTAAACCATACAACATAGCAGGTCTAATCGCCGTCCTATAAAACTTGCCTTTTACCTTCTGTGGTACCCTTTTGTCACATAGGACACTAGATGCTTGCCGCCACTTCATTCACCCTGCTTTGATTCTATGGCTAACATCTTCATCAATATCGAAAGGTATCATTCCTAGGCACTACTTGACCTTCCAAACTAATATTTTCCTCCTCCTCGAGTAGTAGCACCGAAGTCACATCTCATATACTCAGTTTTAGTTCTACTGAGTTTAAAATCTTTGGACTCCAAAGTCTCCCGCCATAACTCCAGTTTCTGATTCACTCATGTTCGGCTTTCATCAACTAGCACTACATCGTCCGCGAAAAGCATACACCAAGGGATGTTCACTTGTATGTCCCTTGTGACCTTATCCATCACTAAGTCAAACAAATAAGGGCTCAAAGCTGACCCTTGATGTAGTCCTATCCTGACTCTTGATGTAGTCCTATCCTAATTGGGAAGTCATCCGTGTCTCCATCACTTGTTCGAACTCTAGTCACAACATTGTTGTATATGTCCTTAATAAGCCCGACGTACTTCATTGGGACTTTATGTTTGTCCAAAACTCACCACATAACATTCATTAGTATTTTATCATAAGCCTTCTCCAAGTCAATAAAAACCATGTGTAGGTCATTCTTCTCCCTATACCGCTCCATAACTTGTCTTATTAAGAAAATGGCTTCCATGGTTGACCTTCCGGGCATGAAACCAAATTGGTTCATAGAGACCCGCATTATTGCTCTCAAGCGATGCTCGATAACTCTCTCCCATAGCTTCATAATATGGCTCATCAACTTAATTCCCCGGTAATTAGTACAACTTTGAATATCCCCTTTATTCTTGTAGATCAGTACCAATATACTTCTCTTCCACTCATCAGGCATCTTGTTCGATAGAAAAATATGGTTGAACAGCTTGGTTAGCCATACTATAACTATGTCCCCGAGGCATCTCCACACCTCGATTGGGATACCATCCGGTCCCATCGCCTTACCTCCTTTCATCCTTTTCAACACCTCTCTGACCTCAGATTCTTGGATTCTCCGCACAAAGCGCATATTTATGTCATCAAAAGAGTCATCCAACTAAAAGGTTGTGTCCATATTCTCACCATTGAACAATTTGTCAAAATACTCTTGCCATCGATGTCGGATCTCATCCTCCTTCACCAAGAGATGCTCCCTTTCATCCTTAATGCACTTAACTTGGTTGAAGTCCCTTGTCTTTCTTTCACGAACCCTAGCCATCCTATAAATGTCCTTCTCTCCTTCCTTCGTACTCAAATGTTGGTAAAGATCCTCGTACGCTCTACCCTTTGCCACACTTACAGCTCGCTTTGCAGTCTTCTTTGCCACCTTGTACTTCTCTATATTGTCCACACTCCTGTCATGGTACAAGCGTCTATAGCATTCTTTTTTCTCCTTAATAGCCCTTTGGACTTCCTCGTTCCACCACCAAGTATCTTTAGCCTCGCCTCCACTTCCTTTGGTTACTCCACACACCGCTGAGGCCACCTTCCGAATGTTGGTTGCCATCTTCTCCCACATGTTGTTTATGTCCTCTTCTTCCTTCCAAGAGCCCTCTTTGATAACCCTTTCCCTGAATACCTCTGACGTCTCCCCTTTCAGTTTCCACCACTTTGTTCTTTCCATCTTAGCTTGTTTATCCCTAAGGGCACGCACCTGAAAACGAAAGTCTGCCACCAAAAGCTTATGTTGAGAAACAACACACCCCCCTGGTATCACCTTGCAACCCAAGCATGCTCGTTTGTCCTTTCTTCTTGCGAGGACAAAGTCAATCTAGCTAAAGTGTTGTCCGCTACTGAAGGTCACTAGATGAGATTCTCTTTCTAAAGAAGGTGTTGGTTATCATCAGGTCAAAAGCTACCGCGAAGTCCAGAACTTCCTCCCCCTCCTGATTCCTACTACCATACCCAAAACCTCCATGAATTGCCTTGAAACTTGCGCTTGTAGTACCTACATGCGCATTAAGATCTTCTCCTATAAAAAGCTTCTCACTACTGGGTACAGCTCTAATCAGGCCATCTAAGTCTTCCCAGAACTGTCTCTTAGCACTCTCGTCGAGGCCTACTTGGGGGGCATACGCACTAATTACGTTCAAGACCATATCACCAACGACAAGCTCGACTAAGATAATCCTATCTCCTTGCCTTCTCACTCCCACCAAACCATTCTTGAGGCTCTTATCAATCAAAACTCCTACTCCATTTCTATTCGCGACTGTCCCTGTGTACCAAAGCTTGAAACCTATATTGTCCACCTCCTTCGCCTTCTGACCCTTCCATTTAGTCTCTTGAACGCATAATATATTTACACGCCTCCTAGTCGCGGTATCAACTAATTCTCTTAACTTACCTGTAAGCGACCCTACATTCCAACTACCTAAACGGATCCTAGTTGGTTCGACTAGGTTCCTTACCCTTCGCACCCGTCGACTCAGATGTGAAGACCCTTGCTCATTTTTCACCACACCCGGGCGCCGATGTAGCGCGCCACTAAGGAAGCGACGACCCGATCCTTGCTCACTTGACACCATGCCCAGATCACGACACGACGCGTCACCAAGGGGGTGCCGACCCGGCCCTTGCCCATTTAACACCATACCCAAGTTCCGATATGACGCGTCGCTAAGAGGGTTACGCCCCAACGAGAGATAGTCATTTAGGTCGAACTAATGAAAAAGGTTAAATGTCAACACTGACTGAGATTTACTTCCAAACAATTTCTAGTTAGTTTTTATATTAAAAAATATTGAGATTAAAATCATGGTGTTCCTTGTTTGATTTTCTCATAGGACATGCCAGCCTTGTAATGTGAAAACAAGTGGCATTGTAATGCTAAAGAAGTGGTTGCAGCTAAAAGAGAAAACACAATGGAAATTAATAGCTTTTCTCCACCTTGTAATCATCTAGGCGAAGGCGACTTCGAAATAAGAGGTATTTAATATGCATAACAGCATGCAGGATTTAGACTGAGATCAAGAGGTACTCACATCACTTGCCAAAACAAATAAAATAGCTCCTGCAGCAATAGCGCAGGGAGGATCATCAATGTCCAGAACCAAAATAGCCTCGATAATTTGTTGTACCAATCTACAGGATATAAGAAAAGGAAGACATTTGTATAAGTAATAAAATGGGAAAAGGTGTCAAAATCTAATACTGTGTTTGTTAAATGCTAACATCTTTAGAGCTGGAGAAGTTCTCAAATTCGATAATAATTTAACTATTCTTATGGACTTAGAGAAATGAATTGCCATTTGACCTTGCTCTAAGAATTGAAGCCCAGTTCAGACAGCAAAACAGATATCCCACACCTTCAACTTATTCTAACCAAGGTATTATGTTTTTTAACGTAAAGTGAAGTACAGCATCAGTGTTGGCATAGCTGTGAGTGTAAGAGTAAACCAATGACACATTTCAGCTCAAGTAAAACTTTCAGTTTACAAGACAATAATCATTATTGTTCAATCTCAACTGAAAACACGCCTAATTCCCAGAAATCACAAAATATAGGCATATATGCCTAAGGAGAAACATTTAGCTACACCTCAATAATTTCCATTTCTACCAAACAGCATACTTCACATAACTTGCAATGATGCTTGAGCTGAGCAGATATAATTTAAACAAGATAGACCAATTTCTAGGCACTACTAATCACTAACCATGCTACTGTTTCAGGGACCATGCAAGATACAATCTCTCAGCTGAAGAACATACCAATCTGCTAGAATTGTTCCTAGGCAACTCAAATGCATATGCATACTTCTTGAACACATTTATAAAATTAGGTTCTAAACCAAAGGAAGTGACACTAATGCTTGTTGGAATCAACAGAGTCGGTTCTACAATAATACAGAAATAACAGTTCGTGTCAAGCAACAAACGGGAACTCATTGAACCATAAAACCAATACTTGTGTTTTGGGCAAGGAATTAGGCGTCTATTGCGAAACCAAGCAAACAAAGGAAGCCCATGGTCCAAAGGCAGAAAGGTGGTTCCTTTCTCAAAGAAACCCTAATCTTGAGCCCTAATCGCACAAGAAAACCATCACGCTTCTCGATTTGCCGGTCAAGATTACCAAGAAAGATAAGCAAGAACCTAATTCGTGTTCTTGGCTGAACACAAGGGAAAAGAGGCGCCTTTGATGCACTTACCCTTGGGACCGGAGCACGCGGCGGCGCTCGGCGGAGGCGCAGATCCCAAGCAGCGCGAGCAGGCTGGCCCGCCGCGTCCGCTTCTGCGCGGCAGGGCGGAGCCCGTCGAGCGCGAACGTGACTTCGTCCACGCTCTCCATCATCTCCCCGTACTCCTCCGCCTCCATCAGCGTCGCCGTCGGCGCCACCGCGGGGGCCTCCGCGAGCTCCCACCCTCCTCCTCCTCTTCTTGCCCCGCCCCGCCCGCGCCGCCTCCCCTCCGGCTGGGACCGCGGCGGGGACGGGGGCGGGTCCTCGTCGAAGTCCCACGTCGAGGAGAACTCCTGCGACGGCGGGAGTGGCTGCGAGGCCGACGACCCCAGCACGTCGGCGTCGGCGTCGGCGTCGAAGTCGAACGCGTCCTGCGACGACGAGACCCCGCCCCCGCCGTCGGAGAAGGAGCGGGATCTGCGCCCATACGTGCGCAGGATCATGGCGCCCGCGCCGTCGTCGATGCGCGGCGAGAGAGGGGAGGATTTGGGTGTGGGTTTGGGTCCGTTGGCGTCGTTTGCCACGCGTTGCGGCGGATTTGGGAGATGGGTTGGGAGGGGCAGCTGCTTGGGGTGGGGGATTTGGTTTGGGGGAGCGGGGAGCTCGGCTTCGGCTCGTTCAGGCTGTGTCACTGGCGAGTGGGGCCGCGAGATGGGTGTGGTTTGGTTTGTCCGATTCAGCCGTAGCCTCTCGGCCCTCGGGTTTGTTGGGAACATCACGAGTCAGGTGTCAGAACGGCAAGGAGGGGCCGAGGCGGTTTAATCTATAGCCGTCGGATCTCCCATTCTGACAGTAGCATCGGATGGTGGATAGTCGGCCAAAAAAGTAGGACTTCTTAGTCTTGTTAATCAAAAAAATTACCCGTTTGTTTTTTTGCTTTAAAACGGCTCAAACAAGCAAGTCATTTCTAACAAGTGCTCCACCGAAAACGGGGCCTTAGTCTTGTTAATCAAAAAAATGAAGTGCTAAATGATGCACGAATGAGTTACAAGTTCCAGGGGTTAAAAGAACATCGGTTCACACGAAGTGCTCTTGTAGGAGATCATGTGTACCCCTTAGCAACATCCCACTAGCGGCCAGGTCCATGGAAGATAACTGGAGAGCCTGCTTCAGCACCGATGAATCCACTTCGAGCTCTATTCGAGATATCCCATAGTCAGTCGCTGATTGCAACGCCTTTGCATAAGTTGTTGTTTCATCGGTGATCACATCTGGTACTGCGTCCAGACATCCGGCCCCTAATTTCGAATAGTTGGGTCGATACGTATCCATGAAGTATCCAAATAAAGTTAAAAATCTAGGTTGCTACATGCATTCTCTCACAGACGCAATAGTAACATGCAGTCGCGTATGAGGTGCTGCCACACCGCAGTCGCAACATAGTAACACACCTCTTTGCCTAAAGACGACATAACAAACTAAGACTTTTGGTATTATGTGTGTGTTTGGCTGCTGAATTTTGAGAATAGGATGGACATGCTTGGCTGTTGGAGTGTTGACAGAATTAAAATATGGAAAAGATGAAAAAGACATCACATATGGAAGACTACAAGTACCGGCAAGGAAGCAAAATTGCTAAGCTACTACTATGCATCATTTCTATTTTATATTAAAAAAATATCGAAACGTTTAAGTAGCTGGATATAAAAATCATTGGAGAACTTGTAGGGACAGAGGAAGTATCATGAATCATGATGTCCCATGTCCTCAAGAAAAAACTGAATTTGCTGAATGCTGACAAAGAAGCTCGAAAGGCATTTGTGGTCCTCTTATTACCAGTAAAATAAATTACCAAAGCAAAGCAAAAGGCTAGAGTTACATACAGCCCACTGCCAAAACCATCACGGCGCAGTAGCACATATTTTACACTTACACGTGTACTCACTTTCTGTCTTGGCACTCTGACACGGGCGCACCACACGTCGACTGAGACCAACTAACGAACATGTCCTACGAAAAACTGTCACCGGCTGCCGGCGCCGGCCACGGTGGGCATCGATCAGGCCATCACGCCAAGCCGACGAGCTTCTCGCTGATCTCCCAGAGTTTCTTGGCCTTGTCGGCGTCGCTGGCCTCCTCGGAGAGCTGGTTCTCGAAGGACGCCGAGTTCTTGTTCCAGCTCCAGTACACGCCGGACTTGGTCAGGCTGGGGTCGCTCACCACCTGCGCCAGCCGCTTCCCGGCCTCCTCCTCGGAGACGTACCCCTTGGTGATGTACTTCTGGAACGGCGGGAAGAGCAGCCGGAACAGCGGGATGTGCTCGCGGAACAGGCCCGTGGTGGCGATGCAGCCCGGGTAGAGCGACGCGAAGGTGACGCCCGTCTCCTCGTGGTACCGGCGGTGGAACTCCTGCATCGTCAGCATGTTGCACACCTTGCTGTCCTTGTATGCCTTGGCGCCGTCGAACTCCCCGCCGTCGATCATCACAGAGCTGCCAATGCCGTTGAGGCCGCCGGCGAGGCCGCGCAGGTCACCCAGGTTCGCCTTCGGCGGCACGTTCCCCGCCAGCGTGTTCGTGTTCCCTGCTCGATCATTATATTCACAGCTCAGTTCAGTGACAGGCATGCATCCAAATCCAAAAGGTAGAGGATGGCAGCGGCATTATCACCACGCACGTACCGGTGATGGAGCCGACGATGATGAGGCGCTTGGAGGGGTAGTCGGAGGACTGGAGGTCGCTGAGGAGCTCGCGGGCGAGGAGGAAATGGCCGAGGTGGTTGACGCCGACGCTCATCTCGAAGCCGTCGGCGGTGTGGGAAGGCTCCTTGGCGGTGGGCTGGTACACGGCGGCGTTGCAGACCACGACATCGATGGGCATGTCCAGCTGGCGCACGTTCTTGACGAACTGGCGGACGCTGTCCAGAGAGGCGAGGTCCAGGTGCATGATGGTGAAGCTGTCCTTGTCCATGCCGGCCGCCTTGGCCGCGCGCGACGCCTTGAGGAAGTCGCGGCAGGCCATGATGACGTGCCACTTGCCTGTCTCCGCCAGGGCCTTCGCCGTGGCCAGGCCGAGGCCGGACGACGCGCCGGTGATGATCGCCGTGCCCTTGCGGAGGGTCTTCTTGCCAGACGGCGACGCGGGGGTCACTGATGGGGAGGACACCGCTGCCGTCTGCGCGCGGATGGCCACCGACGTGCTCACCCTCTGCAGGTTTTGGATGCGCATTTTCAGTCACAGTCATCATACAGGAAGCAGTGACAAGAAGCAATGTAAAATGGCTAGTAAGAACTCTAGTTCCTATGCAACATCTGGCCAGGCTATCCTTTACAAAGCCCAGTGAGAATTAAACAACACTTCTGGATTTCGGTTTTGAGCCGAAGTGGTAAAAGACTAAAAGTGACGATCCTGAATGCCTGATTGCCTATAAGACTGGACACTGGTGGTTATCAGTCATCACACAACCTATCGTAATTTCAACTTTTATCTTTCCCTTCAAAAAGAGACTAAATTTTTACCTGAAGTGTCAAGATAACCATGTTGCAATGTCCAATTGACTACAGAGCTGCCGCAGTAACATGGTCATCTACAAAGTACTCCATTGTTTAGCTTAGTATTAGGAGTAGCAATTCGAGTTATGCATATGGTGATGGAAAGAAAATGTCATTTTAACTATTCAGTCAGACTTTCCATTGCTTTAAGCCTTGGACTCAGAAAACAGAAAGTCAGTAAGACATTGAACTTGAAGACAGACAAATTCTAGCCAGCCAAATGATGTCCAAGGCTTCAGTAGACAAAGGCTATCAGCTCCACTATCCATTACGTACTAAAAATCTACTGCCACAAGTCTACAATTAACTCGACCGTGAAAATTGGTACCTGCAAGCCCCCTAACAATGGGAATTGCCGAGTGGGCATAGATACAATTGGAGTAGGTGGCAATTGCCAATTGGGACACGCAACAACAGAAGATAACAAAGGTAAACAAGCAGTAGCCTCAGTCCCAAAAATCCATACCTTGGTGCGTAGGCCCAGAGCACTGGTCTCCAGCTTGAGGCCATCCGCGAGACGAACACCCAAGAACGCCGAGTCCTTCACCGACCCCTGCACACGCACAGCACCAACATTGCAACCACAACAATTACTACCGAAACACTCAACAATCGCTTACCAGAACCGCAACTTGACAGCCCAGACACTGAAGTCGAGCGCGAATCGAAGGGAAAAAAAACAGCCACAAAGGCACAAATGCTCGCTGGAAAACGCAGAACTGCCGCTCACCTCCTTGCGCGCGGAGAGCGCCGAGGGGAGGAAGGACGTCGCCGCCTGGAGCGCCATGTCGAGCAGAGAACGAAGAGACTAAGCAGCCTGAGGACTGAGGATTTGGTTGGGTTTTTCGTCTCCCTCTTCGCGGGGGGAGGGAAAGCGAGGGGCGCGGCGGGAGTTTATCGGTGCCGGAGGCGGTGGTGATAACGCGATAGGGTGGGGGGTGGGGTTCGCCACGCGGCGCCGACATGGCACCAGCCCGGCCAATGGGAGCTGGGTGGCTTGGATTTCCCCCGTCGTCCCCGGTCCCCTCGTGGGGATGGATAGGATACTTTCGGTAATCGGCTTGGGGATATTTTTTTTTGGGTAACGCTCCTGCTCGAACGTTCGACGTTTCGGACGCGCGTCAGAAAACGATTCGACCGGCGCCTCGTCTTATCTGCCCGCTCGACACCATCCCCATCCCATGTCCGCGCGCTTCACTTCTCTCGCTCTTCTCGCCCTCTCCTCCTCCCAGCTCCTCCACTCTGTCGCTCTGCTCGCGCGCCGCCGCCCCTCCCTCCCTCCGCGACCTCCATGTCGCGACGGCTTCCGGCAAGCAAGCCACCCTCCCTCCTTCCTCCGTCCCTCCCTCCCTCCGTGACCTCCATGCCACCGGAGAGGAGGGCGGCGGCGGTGGCTTCCGGCGAGCCGCCCCTCCCTCCATCCCTGCCTCCCTCCCTCGCTCCGCGACCTCCATGCAACCGGAGAGGAGGGCGACGGCGGCGGCTTCCGACGAGGTAGCTGGGTCCTTCTCTGAATCTGAGCCCTCCTCCTCCTCTCTCTCTCTTCCTCCTCATCTGGATTTGAGCTCTCCTCCTCCTCATCCTCCTACTCCTCCTCTAGATCTGGATCCGAGGGACGCGGCGGTGGCTACGGTTCCGACGAGCTCTATTGCAGTAGGCTTATTTTGCTGTTGCAACAAGCAATATTTCTTTGTTGCATTAGTTGTTTTTTCTGATGTTGCATCTCGCATTGAGCCTTTTGTGTCTGTTGTTGCAATAGCGTCGTTTTGTTGTTGCAACAAGCAATATTTCTTTGTTGCATTAGTCTTTTTTTCGATGTTGTATCTCGCATTGCGTTTTTATTTCTGTTGTTGTAGTAGTGTTGTTTCGCTGTTGCAACAAGTTTTTTTCTTTGTCGCATTGGTCTTTTTTTTGATGTTGCATCTCGCACTGCGCTTTTGTTTTCTGTTGTTGCGGTAGCTTTGGTTTGCTGTTGCAACAAGTAATTTTTCTTTGTTGCATTAGTCTTTTTTCTGATGTTGCATCACGCATTGCGCTTTTGTTTCTGTTGTTGTAGTAGCTTTGGTTTGTTGTTGCAACAAGTAATTTTTCTTTGTTGCATTAGTATTTTTTCTGATGTTGCATCTCGTATTGCAGTAGCTTTGTTGTGTTGTTTCAGTCGCTCTTGTTCTGATGTTATAGTAGACTTTGTTATGATGTTTCACCGCATATTGCGTTTTGTTTGATG